GAAATCACCCTGGCAGTGGCTAAAATCGATTCCTTACCTCAAACGATCCTCCCCTCGCGTTTCTGAGATCACCGCTAGATTCCCCTCGAAATTCTCTTGAAGTTTGCCTTTTGAATCACTTAATTTGGACTCAAAATGAAGGATTAATCTCAAGTTGAAGTTGAACAAAAAAATTGGACGAATTTCGTTCTTAAAATCTGGAAATTTCCAGATATCACTCCTATGCCACGTGTCGTCACGTGGTTCTGCCACGTCACCGCCGCGTCAAAATTCTACAACCCTTCAAACTTAAGTTTCGATGTTTCGGACTCGTTCGGACTCGGAAAAATACAAACCATATATGGAATCTGATTGGAAACGATATTTCGGACTCAACGGTGAAGGCGGAATTTCCATTTGGAGCTCGCTTCGACGAAAGTGGGTCCCACACCCAGTATCATTTTGAACCAGATTCCACAACTGCTATTTAAAATCTCGAGAAGTGAACAAAGGGTCGTTTTAGACCAAAATCGATCTTCCGAAGCTAACCTAACTGTCAGAATTTTCATCTGAACACGTCTTCCAAGAAGGTTGACCAAAGTCAACTTTTCAAGTTATAAAATCTCCAAAACAGGGAAACGGGCCTAAAACCCAAACGAACGACCAGGCGACCGAACAGTCAGTGCCAGCAAGTCATAAATGACTTGGGGTCGCTACAGGAACGCTCTAAACGAGGGAATGAACGCTTTAATTTAAAAATGACCTGGAGGGTCATTACACCCCCCCTCCCCCCTATATAAGAACATTAATCATTTGAACATATATAAATAATTATGTATAACTCACATTTGATCATTGACATTGAAATTGAAATTTTGAGTTTTGAAGTTATGTTAGGACATGCATTTTATTTAGGTAAAGAAAAATAGTGTTTTATGAGTATTTGAAAATATTTGAAGACTACTTTTTCAAAACTTTAGCAAATTACATGGCATATATTTTAAAATAAAATTTCAAAATCTACTCTCAAATCTATGGTCAAACACTAACTTAGTTTATCGTAACTTTTTATTTTAGTACATTTTGATTGAGGCGGTGTAAGGCCTTATTTGTTCGCAATTAATGGAGGTCTGAATCGAAATTGTTTAGACATACGACCACTAAGTGCATTTGGTCTGAGTATGTATTATTCATTAAAAATCTAGGACATAGTCTTAATATCATTAAGAGGTATTGTTGTGGATATTATTCACCATCACTTTATTGACCATCTCAGTAATCACAACCTCAACTATTGTTATGTCACACCCCGAGCCTACCTCCTGGACGTGGCCGGCACTCGAGAAGCATTACTGGCCCCATGTGAACCCTCAGTCTGGCTTACTTACTCAACGAAAGACTTTACTCAAGATAAATACTTTTAAAGCAAGTAAACTGAACTGCTCAAAATATAACTTAGAATGTAATAAATATCATTGACTACCAAAGTGGCAACTCAGGTCGCAACTTAACTGAAATGAAAATGAAAAGACTAAAAAACAAACATTTGACTGTCTATGAAGCCTCTAAAACAATTGAGATGGATGTAGGGACAAATCCAACGACATCCTAATGAACTAACAAAGTAACTGAAAGCAATAAAAGGAAGTCCTTTGGAAATGTAAGGAGGCTCACCAACTGACTCTGGAGTGCTCACTGGATCAACAATGCACTGGATGTCGATCCTAGTTACCTATGTCTGCATCATAATAAGATGTAGGCCAACTGGCATCAGTACATTGAATGTACAGTATGCCGAGTTTGGAATGCTAAACACAACATATGCTTGAAAAGAATCTGAAGAACTTACCTGGCTCAACTCAACTAAACATAACTGAACTCATTTCAATATAAAGCAGTTTAAAACAAGTGCAATATAAAGAAAAACTGGTCAAAACAAGACGTCAACTCTGTGTGTATAAAAAAGATACATATAATTCTGAAATGTATGTAAAAATACAATAAACTGTGTATATAAGAATACAATTACTTATGTGGGAGTTTCTCTAACCGACAACCATCACGTAAGAGCTATTGCGATGATACACCATTTTGCCTCACACTGCCAGGGCCGTCCTATACCTTGCCGAGGGTATAGAACCTGAACTATTAAGTGGATCCACTAGTCTATGCTAAAAAGCACTAAAGGAATCATTTAAAAAGTATGACCCTTTTCTACCCATGATGGCTACATGGTTTATGGGGGCTGTGAGTTGTTTGAACTCTCCTCCATATCGGTGCTCAATACTACTCCCAAAAAATGATATTAGCTCTTATGTTTAAAACATACTTCATTCTGTGATTTGAGATTAGTGCTCAAAAACTTAGCTCAAAGGCTATCCTGGAAATCAAAGTTTCCTCTCTTTGCTTCATTTAGAAAGCAATTACTCTTTTATGAAAACTGACTTGAAGGCTCTTTAGAAATCGAGGTTTCCTTGCTTGTTTAAATGTGAAAACATTTAAACCCTTTGGGAATACATAGTCCCCATATACTTTTGAAGAAATGAACTTCAAACTTTACTCTTTACTCAACTTGAACTTGAAGTATTAAAACAAAGTTAAAACATTTGGAAAAGACCTTTTGAAAACTTTAAAGAACTTCTCTTGACTTGCTTCTTAACTTCTAATTTGACTCTTAACTTCCCTTGAAATGAATTATGGATTCAAGGATTATGATTTGTGATAGGAAAGATCTCATGATGTATATGAATGATTTTAGATAGCTAAACATGAGAAAAGATCAAGAAATCACTGTTTGAGTGTGGGTCCGCGACGCGAAGAAGTATTTAAATTTTTTGTTCGAAAATAACTTTTGAGGCAGAACGGTTCGTGATCTCTCCGCTCCGCGAAACGATTTTTCCCAAATCTGGGTAGCGGGTCCGCGACGCGGAGGCACTGCCCAGATTTGCCCGACGAAATTTCTTCTTCGTTTTTAAGCTCTAAACTCCATTGGTTCTTTTCCCAAACACTTAGAATCATCTATACCCTCTAATAACATCAGATTCCACACAAAAACACAACTAAAAACGTGAATCAATCTCAAGAAAACTCCAACAACACAACCCACAAGGATTCAAACGAACTTCATCAAGAATTCAAGGGATTTACTTTCAAATCAATATACTTTGCTGAAATTGAATGAAGTTGGGCATGTGGGTGAACTAACCCAACGCTATGTGATCTCAGATACCTTGTATGGATCACCCCCGATGAAATACACTAAGCTAAACTAGACGATCTTGACGGATCTTGCTTCTCTTCTCCTTTCTCCTCTTCTTTTCTCTTTTCTCCAAGCCCTAGTGTATTTTGGTAAAAGCGTAAACTGATCTAATTATGATTGGACCCTAACTTAATTACCAAAAA